CGGCCGGCGGGGGGGCCCCGTCCCTTCCCCTCCCCTCCCCTCCCCCCCGGGGCGCCGCTCATCCGCTCCGCGCCTGAACCCTGGCAGGTGATGTCGAGGACGAGGAGGAGGACGAGGACGAGGACGAGGAGGATGAAGGCGAAAACAACGTCGACACGAAAGCGAGCGCCGACGACCCCCCTCCGAAGCGGACGAAAGTCGAGCAGCCCCGCTGAGGGCCCTGGGGACTGCGTCGGGGCCTAGAAGGGGGCCCGGCGGCTGCAGCGGCCGTACGTGCCCCGGGCGGGCGGGCGCCCGCCGCTCTCCTGCTCCTCTAGTGAAAGTGGAGCGTCGGTCCCGACGCCATTGGAACGTGGAAGCCTCAGCGAAAGGACGCGCCTTGCTGTTAGCAGTGTGTTGCTCACAGGGTACCGACGTGACGCCGAGAAGAATTTTTAGTAAACTACTTGCCAAATGTAAAACTGTTCTCACAAGTCTTCCGACTGCGACATTTTTAATGACTTTTTCCAAGTTATAGTATTTATCCACGTGACTTTAAACCTTTAAAGTAAAGTAATAAAATGTGGAAAGAGTTATTTTGTCAGATAGGATCTTAAAATGGTAAAAGGCAACTTTTATTTGTATGGAGAGAAAGCGATTCAAGACCACCGTAGTAGTCCAATTTAAAAAACACCTGTAGGACCGTGTTCATTCCTGAACAGTCCTACAATGGAAGGTTATTTTTGCCTGTCATCTAAAAGGTTTATTTTGGTCACCTATCAATCAAATATTTTCCTGGAAAAGGTCAAAGTAGGTTGAAAGAGTCGGGAATCTTGGTTTCAAAAAGTCCTGGTTTTGTGACAGCCTGGAAAGTGACAAATCAGTGTGACTTTGATAATTAATATTCCACAGTTCAAAAACTGCTGTCTGTCCTAAGCCTGTTTTCCCCAAATGGTTTTTAGTTGGGTTTTTTTTCTCTTTTTTTTCCATGCAGCAGTCAGTCTTTATATACTTTCTTCTATCACTGAGTTTTATCCAGGTTGATTTTTAGGCTCATTCGGTAGCAAAGTCAAATAAAGTGAGCATCACAGCTTAATATTCTGCCTATGCAGAACTCTCAACACTACCTAAAAGTAAGAGAAGAGCAGAGTGATTTTTGGAGATGCTTTCTAAAAACAAACCTTTGGGCAGAAATTAGGGGAAATGCAGTAGGGTTCTACACTGGTTACTGTAGTTTGTTTTAGAGGGGGAGAAAGTTCAAATGTTGAAGTAACACCTATGAGTACATGATATATAACAGTTCTTGGCTGTATAAATCGGCATAACCCACCCAGTCCCTCCACTGAGGTAGCTTGCCCTTTCTTTTGACGATAATGCAGTATGTGGATTGTCATTAAGGTAACAGATGCTTCTTGCAAGGTTGTCAGTGCTTCCCATATGTTACTTTAATTCCCAGTTTTTGTTTGGCGCACACTTCTGTGAACAGGGATAAAACATTCTTGATAGCCAATCCACAGAGCTTACTGTGGAGCCTGAGAGTCTTCCCTAGCAGAAATTAACTGACTGATTTAATAGTGCAAAACGCCTTTTTTTTTTTTTTTTTTTTTCATTTTGATGTGTTCTGCTGGCATAGTTTGCTTATGTATTACGGAAACTGAGCAGACCTTGAGACTTGTGTGTGGATTACAAAGTATCAGAATAAATGATGAATTTTTATGAGCACAAAATTGTCATTCATTTGAAATGGGGGGCAGGGGAGTTGGAAAAGAGGTCCAGTAAACATATTTTGGACATCTTGATGTACTCTTATTCTAAGAAATTCACAAACCCATTACTCTCAGCAGATATGACAGAAAATAACTGAGGAGAAAAGACCAACTGAAGACTAGGGAGCTTTAGTTGCTGAGGACCTAGGGTGAGAGAAAACTACACAAATTAATTCTGATCTCTTGTCAGGCTGCAAAATCTCAAAGTGATAAAATGCTTAAAGTGTTTTAGGGCAGATGACAGATAATTTATTGAAGGAAGTGGCATTGAAGGAAGTGGCTTATCAAAATGGCAAAGGCAGCAGTACAAAAAACCTAGCCTGATAAGTGTATCAGAAGGGCTCCTTCATGTGACCTGTGCTAAAGTGATGATGCCTTTTATGAGCTCTGTTCTGCAGCTTTGGAAGCTTGTAGAGCTACCTCTGAGAGCAGCATTTTCCTTTTTTTTCTCCCCCCTCCCAACTGTAGTCCTAAACACTCTCAACAATGGTGTGAACTGTGGGATGACTGAAAAGCAACATTTAACATCAGGCATGAATTTGCAGCCTTTATATATAAACTTTGTGTAAGTAGTCCACTGGCACACGATGGGCTGAAAACCTATGGTCTAAATTAACAAACCCTAACTTGCTAGTGTGACAGTAAATTCAGGTAATACTCCAGCAATGGGGTACTTCCTTTTTCTGTCAGCCTGGACGCAGTAACATGCTGCACCTGAACTCCAGAAGATACCAATTAGCATTGGGTCAAGAACAACCACCACTCAAGTTTTTGCCTGTAAAGAATCATTTCTAGTCCTTATTATGGCCACAAAAACTTTTAAACAATGAAAAGGGTACTGGAGCTTCATGGGGCCTTATGTAATTCTGAACTGTAAGTTTTTTGCTTGTGATGGAAGTGGCCTAACTCAACAGAGAACTTCATTTTTCTGAGAGTTGCTGCAAGGTAACTAGGCAGAGAAAGCTTTAGTGTGATGGGTTTGGTTTTTTCCCTTTCCCCGCTCCATATCTGGTTTAGGACCTACCCTACAGCTGTGTTCTGAACCCCTTTTGGGGAGCCTCTTTCTCCCCCAGAAGGACTGCAGCCTCCCACTTTCTGTACAGTCCTTCTAGCCAAACAACTAGGAAAAGGTACAGGGGACAACAGAGAGAACCAGCTGGTGTTGCTCACTGGTTGTGGTGCCCTTTTTCCAAGCAGCCAAGTCAGCAAAGCACACAGGTATTTCCATGGCTGTGGGAGAGGCTCCAAAATTTTCTGAAGACAGAAAAACTTAAGCTTTATATGTGTGGAGAATATAGCAAAAGTCTGGAATTACTTTTACAAAGCTGTCCTAGAGGATGAAGCTTTATGCATGCTGTAAGTCAACTGTGGCCCCTGCATTTTAGGTAGAATAGATAAGCCTTGATGGAAGAAAGACAGCATAATCTTCATCTTGGAGATATGCTAGTGCTTTTGTACCTTAACCAAACTTCAGGCTGGCACAGAACAAGCCTAGTTCACCACATCTATGCTGTTAGTATAGTCTGTATGTCTTACTAATAGAACTTAGTTTTACTAGCCAGAGGGGGCTAGATGGATTCCTTACCGATAATGGGGGAGAATGCTGCTATGTTTCTATTGAATTAAGAGCTGAAGTAATACTACAATTAAATTCTTGGTAGCATTTAGATGAGAACCAACTACTTTAGCTGCAGAACAGAACAGCAAAAACATCAAAGCAAGTCTCCTTCACGTAGACTGGGATTATATGACATACTCTACTGTACTGCTTTGAAATACTGAATTTGCTGGTATGAACAACTTCTGAGGCTAAATTCACAAGGGCATTTAACAGGTTGCAGTGTTCTGTGTTTTAAAACAAAAGTTTAAAATCACAAGCATGATATTTATTCGGCACTCAGATAGATGGTTCTGAGGGAAAGGGGGCAATCCCATTATGCCCAATAATCGGGGCATTGTCTAAAAGTGCAAGACCTTTCCTAGTTCGTAGGAGATTCACTCTCATCATCTTCATTCAGAGGGTTTGAATGCGATTCACCCATTGCAGCCCTTGCATAATTCCTACTCATTCTAGCTTAAAAGTTAATTTATACACAAGCTACTGCAGATACCAGATTCTAAAATACACAGTAATCTGGCAGTTAGGACATAATAATGTATCACGGGGCTTAATATATGGTAACTAGGTTAAATCCCAGCAGTGTAAACAATGGAGCATGGTTTTGGGCGCAGCCACTAAGCCAAAATTTATTGGGCTAGTCATGGGCTTTGAGGACTGAAAGTTGAGCAGAAGTACCTTCTTCTGGCTGTAGCATGTTCTTTCTTTCCAGAAGAAACCTGTAATATAGGGCTAGCTTTAAGGAGAGCTGAGTCAGTTCTTACAAATTAACTATCTGATAAAGTTATTAAACTGCTTTTGTGCATTAGATCATATGTCAAAAAGGGGGTTCTTATCCAAGACTGGCACACGAAAAGCAGCATATTTTAGAAACTAATAGAATAACAAACTAGAGGGCATCCTTTTAAGAAGACAATGGACCAGGCAAGACAAAATAAGGGGAGTTAATAGGTATCCTGCACAAACTGTAAAGTTTTGTTTTAAGAATAAGTCAATCCTCATGTTTTTAATTAAAAAAGAAATCAAGCTTGCAGTTCTACTTTGCTGCTGGAAGAAACATGTCATAAGGAACACATTTTATTGCAGCATACTTCTGTCCAAGCTTGAAGGGCTGCAGCCTGAAGTTATGCTCTTCATTGGACCTGCTCTACCATGGGAGGCCCTGAAGAACAGGCTCAGCAGCACTTAAGAAAATGCGGAAGACGTTTTCCTGAGATTGGAAGGGATTGTCAGGTGAAGGTCAAGCAGCTAATGAAACTGCCCAAGACTGATGCTCAAGCAGTCCAACAAAGCTTTATCTTGTGGCACAAACACAATAAAAAGAAATCCAAGGGAGGTGGCACAGAGATGAATATTAATCAACCCCGTGTTACAGCTACTTACTTTCTTGGCAGAAAATTAAAGCTCTAAATGATTGCTAAGCTGGTAGAAGTTAGCAATCTTCCAAGGACTTCATTACTGCCTCTATTATTACAGCTTCTGCTTTAGGAAGCTCATCCAGATCAGGTCTGAGCTAACTCATTTTAAGTTAAAAGAGTAAAAAATAGCTCTCGCACCCCTAAGTGGAAGTTGTAGCAATTCATCCTTTCTGCCCACTCAGTGAAAAGAACTAAATAGATTTGTATGAACAAGTTATACTATTAAGTTAGTCTCGCATCTTTTATTAATGCCATTGCTGTAGAAACAGATTTGCACTATTATCTGTCATTTACAATCAAGAACTAATTGAGAAGTACTGTAGTCTTTAAAGAGGCTGTAAAACTTCTTTGAGCTTGATTATCCCAAAAGCTTGTAGTTTACATCAATTTGTGTTACAGGCAGTTATCTTCTGTGACTGAGAATTAGCCTTGACACTATCTACAAATCTTCAGGATAATCAAGCTTAAAGTTATTTCACTACTTTTAAAAGACTACAGTTAAAAAACAATTTAATCACTAATTTTTATAGTCTTCCCTTTACTTACTCTGTGGGTGAGACTTCACCCGTTGATGCTCCACTGGTGCCAAAAATGCTTGAAGCACCAGTGGAGCTAGCTTTCCTCTACTCATACTCCTATTGTCTAGTATTCCTATGCACTGTTAATAGTTCATACTAATTGTCTCCATTGCTTCTTTCCACCTCAAGCTCAAATCCTTACAGACACAGCATTTGCTTGAATTAGATTGTGTGTCTTTCTGTAGTTGTAAAGCTCGTGCTTGTCGACAGCTTTAATCCAAAACCAGGCTTCTATGGAAAAGTCTACAAACACAAACCTCCATTCTGTAAGTCACTGCTGCACCCAGCACGTGCTCCACATCCAGACAGCTTGGCTCATCACATCAGGCACACTGATGAATTTGCTAAAGGCCACATGCTTGCACAACAGAAACTTAGGCAGTTCTCCCTATCATTTTCTATTTTTGATGCTTCCTCTTATGTTGTGGTTCTTTAAATAACTTCATCTAGACACAACATAACTGCTCAGTTTAAAAACTAGAGCATCAAGTTAAAAACACAGTCCAGCCAGAGGTATCCCCCTATTACACAAAGGTAGAGAAATGACAAAGGGATTCAGTTTCACCCAGCCAGCCCCAAAACTTCAGGCTACAGACAAGTAATTAGGGCACAAAGCATAAAACGACAAGAAAAAAGGTCAGCCAAACGTATGCACTGAGGGAAGAAGCACAGGAGAGTAAGCTACAGCAGCTGACTGCCAGCATTGCTATCTAGCAACATACACACACACACACACACAAAAAGCCATTGATATGTAGCTGCATTAACAGACTTCTATTTATAAACATTGAAAAGTTTTTATTTTATAGATAAATAGGATGGTGATTTTTAAAGTTAGGAAACAATACAACTTAAAAGCTCTGACTCCCAAAGACACCACAAGTCAGAGTTTATTCTTACTCCAGCATATTAAGATGGCAACTTCCTCCTTTTTATATTGCACTTAGAACTTAAAACCTTTTGTAAAGGCTACATTGTTTTCAGGTCCTTGCACCCATACTGGCACCTGAAACCAGTGTCTCGAAATATCTCCAAATGCAAACAGAAAGTTTAAGGTGTTCTAACTGCCATGCTTAAATATAGCAACACTGAAAATAGTGTTCTCTTTCCAAAGTAAAAGAAAGCTGATATTCTCCAGGATTCCCTTAAAGTAGTCAGAAATGGATTTGCATTTGTGATGATTAGGTACTGACAATCACATACAATTGCAATTATAATCGAGGAGTTTAGTTCATAATTGTTTAGGGCCTACTGCTTTTGAAGAGTGTATTTTGCACTGTTTTCACATTTGGAAGGTTACTTCTTCCATCATGGCTGGCTCAAAAACTTAGTTATTCTAAGAAGAAACAAAGAAGGACAACAAGAAAGAAAAGATTTGATATTATTCAAAATACACAATCCAGTAGTTAGAATTAAATGCTATGCCAAAATAGCACTGAAAAATAGAGGTTTAAATTATGATAAGAAATCTCAGCGGAATTTCAGTATGACTGAAGATATTTGCATTCATTGCAAGAATGAGAAGAAGGTATCCCACTTCTTCAAATTTCTGGAAGAAACAAGGTTATTTGTCTTACAACCTGTTTGTAGCATCCCCCCAACCTAATACCAGTTAACTTTCCCAAATTCAAAGTTTTCCCTAATGCATCAGTGCTCCCAGAACACAGTTTTGCATCATGTCCAGAGTGAAATTAGAATGGTAGTAAATTCCAGTCACTTGTAATTTTATCAAAGGAGATTTCTATAGATAGGAGAAGGAAACACAAATGAAGTTTTGTGCAGAGTATGGGCCAATGCCAGCATAAGCTGCTTTTGACATTGTAGGAAAAGAATTTAAAGCACCAACCTCCAGGCTTATGCCTCTCCTCACTGCCTACCTACTACAACATGGTACTGTTGTGGTCACTGAAAAAAAGTATGCTACCACAGGAAAAAAAAAAAGTACCTTTTTCCCTTTAAAGGTTTGCAGAAACTTTATTCTTTGCTTCCTGTATTTGTATCTAAACTTATTTTTAAAAAAAATCATTAAAAACCAGCACTGATGTAGATACTAATTACTTTAAAAAAAAAAAGGCAAAGAATTGTATTAAGTGCAACTTTTATAATCATGTTCTGATTTTTTTTTCCTTTTACATTTACCACAGAAGAAGTATCTTTTCATTGATTTTACTCCAAGGGAAAACATAGGAAATCACTTTTTTGCACAGAGGAGTAAAGTCATGGACCAGAAACTTATTTCCCCACAGGACGTTTCAGATGGAGTGTTGCAATTTTGCATCATTAAGGCAAAATGAGGAATACTTCCATCAAGTGTCACGTAGGGCTCTCCCACTCTGGCCATTCTGATAGACCCATATTTAAAAACCTTTGTAGTTACTTTTTTTCTTTTTTTTTTTAAATAGAAAACAGTCACTCTTTTCATTGCTTAACAGTTTGAAAGAAAAGGCTTTTTCCAGCCTTCACTCAGAACTTCAGTCTTGTGATTAGATCAGGCATATGCAATTGCTTCAAAACAGCTACAGAAAGTAGAAATTGAGCTAAGTGTCAATCAGTTGTAATCTACTGATCTGATTTGAGGCCTTCACAAATGTTTGATGACGATTGCAAATAACAGCCAAGCAGATAGGAATGATGCAATACCCAACAGTTTTGGGGTCAGCTCTTGTACAGGAATAGAGGAACAAGAACATCTGTAAATATGGTATTAAAAATATTATAGTCCACAGCCAAAAAGGCAAGGATAGCAGTCGTACTTTTAAGGAGTGCATCCATGTGGTTCCTTCCTGTGGTTCCTTGGGGTGTTGCTGAATGTGCTCCAGTGCTAGTTTGTTGTAAGTCTCATTGATTTCAAAGACGTAATAAAAAGCTGCAGCACTTGCTAACAAGTACAACCCCACACCAATCCATCCCATCCTCTGGCGGAAGTTCATCATTCTCCATGCTCTGCACCTGGAACAAAAGGCGACATATACATTCAGTACAGCTTGGAGAAAGAGAGGACACAATGAAGCTTGGTTTTCATGAGTTAACTTTTTATAAGTTTTCATTACACATTAGTAAAGCAGCACACACATCCATTTCTGAAGACCTGAGTGCTCTCTACAGCAGAGAAAATCATACTACTATGCTAGCAACAGGTTAATGGTAATTACATACAATGCTCCATCGATGGGTCTGGCTAGTTTAGGGCCTGCTAGCTATCAAGTTATACCTGGCTAAAGTCAAGTGCTGAGTGAACAAAATACAAGTCATGAATTGGATAAGTTACTTACCCCATCTGCCCTCAGATTCTCTAGCCACAGGGTGGGGATAATACAAGACTTTCTATAAATACAGAAAGTTTGTAAAGTTCTTTGATGTCTGCAAAACAAACACGCTGCTAGCCAGCCAGTAACAGGAGCATCACTGCTTCTTTGCAGTGTAACAACATCCAGTTTTACTAAGCTCTGGCTGAGTGCCCATCTATGAATCGTAGAAAAGGATGTTTTCAATTTGAACATTAGAAGATATATACTAAACATATGTATTTGTACCCATTTGCACACACGAAGATACTATAAGCGTGTTACTTGCACCTAACTTTATTTCTGCTCTGCCTATGTGATCAGTTGCATATGCCTTCTGGAGTAAGGGAGTTGAACATCTGTACTAGTAACTGAGTCAGTGCAGAACAAACCAGACACTAGTCAACTGGCACTTTTCATAAGAAGCACAAATTAGTAAAAGCACCACAGCCACTGCCGGGCTTGATTTTAGCTGCTTTAAGATCTCTGGCTGGCTGGCTGCGACTAGGTGAATTGAAACACTCTTCAAACCAGTCAGAAACACTCTAGGTGAAGTACTGCCACTCATACCAAGAAGTCGTCACCACCTTCCCTCAAAATAGCCCTTGGGCAGGGCAGGGAGAACCACCGCTTCACTGCAGCTGGTTAGAGTACTGACAAATACGCTTTTTCAGACTGTTAGGTTTTTACCTTTCCTACCTTTTTAAAGAGAGAAGTAAAATCAATTTATGCAGTACTGTTTTAAGAAAATATATCAGGCTTATAAATACTAGGCAGAAATGCTTATTTAAGATTTATGCATACAGAACAATAATTATTAATGCAAGTATGAGAGAGTTTAGCATAATTGATTAAAAAAAAAAAAAATCACTACACCTTTCTAAATCCCCCTTCCTGAGGCCAGACTAATCTGTCTGGTTATCAGTCTTGAAAGACTTCCTCGTTTTCCATATCTGAAGGATATCCTCAATCCTGACCTAACAGAATTTGATCAGGGTAGCCTGGAGAAGTTGTTCTGGCCCTCACACTGCTGCATTTATGGTCGCTAAAAGAGACAAACATATGGTGACAGTAAATACCTGAGAGTGCCATTACTTATGTCTGTGACAGCTATTTGTTGTTTACCTTATCCTTCTATATAACTTAACAGCAGGTTTCCCTTTAATGCACCAAGTTAATACTTTTAGTAGGATAACTGAAAAATTTGTGTAAGAGGCTGTTAATTCACTGGGCAAAAACTTAAATTCCAGAGTCCATCTTTACCCAATGGCTAAGTCACTGTCCATTTTTTCCAGTAGTTAGGCATCTCAGAGATGACTAACAGGTAGTCGCCATCAGAGAAAATAAATTTTCAAAAGGAATGCACATCTTGAGAACACAAACACTATTAAAATCGCAGTAGACCGAAGAAGGTAAACATTAATTGTTTTTTCCTCCTGCCCTTGCTAAGCAGCAGTAGCCAGAAGAGGATCCTTAGCTCTGGGCTACACCGAAAGAGGCAGAAATGACGCCTAAGAGTTTTCTCATTCTTATTTTCCGTTTCGAGACACTAATGGTACTCGCAGCTTTCGAAGACACCCGCGACGGATATCGGAGTCGCTCGCCCCCCCGCCGCGGGCGCTCCGAGGCTCTCCTCCCGCAACAGGCCGCGCAAACCGGCCGCCAGCGAGGCCGGCGGACCTCAGCCCCTCCGCGAGCGCCGGACGCGCGCTCCGGGCGAGAAGCGCTCCGCCGCAACGGCTCCTTCACCGACGCCGGCAGCCCCTTACCTTCCTCCAACGGAGAAGGAGGGAGCGGGAGGGCGACGGCAGGCGGCCCGCTCCCCTCAGCCCGCGCCGCCGCGCCGGGAGACGAAGGGGCCC